TCAGTATCCCACTCCTGAAAATCCATTTCTAGAACTTATTCAACGCATCTTGAAACTAATAACTGCCAAAAAGACCTCACCATTTTTCCGTTCCATCTATGCAATGCACAATTGCGAAGTCTGAACTTAGTGGTTTTCCACTAGGAAGAGAGTCAAAAGGATTTATGTGGTTATTGTTATCGTCTTTTCGAGTAACATACTCTCCTCGGCACTCTGCATTCTTTCTGTAAAAATGAGCATCCCAAAAAGGAAAAAGCTTAAACATAAGTTGCACCTTTGCTTAATGTACTGCACTAGATGTTTGTCGTCAATATAAACCCAATTTGTCGGATTTTTGTCGCAGCGCAGCGGCTTCGGTTTGAAGAAGAAGCTCCTCACTTCCAGCTCCATTGATTTCAAGCTTCGGGATTTTACACTTCTAGAAGAATTCGTCAAAAATTATTGAAACAGAGCATATGTGATACGATTCCCACTTGATCGCGGAAGCTGTCCGCAGCATTTCCGGCCGAGTTTGCACCACCTGCTCGATCCTGTCGATCGCCATCTTGACCACTAATTACGATTTTGAAATTGAACTAGAAAACAGTGAAATATTCGAGCACATATAGAAATGACGCAAAGCTAGCCATAAGACCATTCATGAAATCAAATCGGAGAATATTACGGTCGGGAACATGGAAAATATTCTGGCCAGTTTACAACCGCTTCCTGCCTTCTTTTCTTGTACATCGCCAACTACACCTAGAGGACTTGCTTTGAGTGCAGCCCTCTGTTACTCTCACACTTTTGAGCTACGCATCCCGCTCCTCCCTATTTTCCTTCATGATACTGAATTAGTCGGAAAGCGCGCAACCAGGGCTTAGGGCTTGTATTCGTAGTCGCACGCGATTAGCGATTAGGTGAAATGCGAGAAACCTACTCGCCAATCTCGACGACGAGCAAATCAAATAACGCGCTACAGCTTCCACTTAACTGGTGAGTCGCTTAATCGCGCGATCGCATATTTCTTCTAGTGTGAATCAACACAAGTTCAATCCACGAAAGGCTGCCTTTGTACTTTGCGCCCCACCGTTTTGAAATACGGCTCAGCGCTTTCTTTGAGCGCTTTCGCAGGGCAGTCCGCGTGGGAACGCGCTGGCGCAGTGAGTGCTCGACAAGGCTAGTTTGCGACATACACCTTTACTTGTCTAGTCGTTCAAAACGTCGTACAGCAGGCGTACGCTCGAAGCGCTGCCGCGATTGATACCTACACCTTCTAGTTGCTAAAACGCTGACGCAAAGTAAATGAATCGCAGCCTAAAGAGGCTGTGCGAGCTGTGGGAGAGTAACGCATTACGAACACTGTCTGAAAATAAGCAGAATGGTATTTTCATTAGCAATGCGTAGATGGTTTCCAGCTAAAACAGAGCCATTACCGTGATAGTATGACTGTACTTGCGCAGCTCCATCTGCAGCGTTATTTGCGCCTTGCTTCTTGAGCGCGAACGCCAGTTCGCTCTCGTGACTAAAAGTATCGAATATGATCGTGGCGAGATACCTAGCGACCGGACCAGCGTACACTCGGCGTCTTCGCGGAACCACTTTTTGAACTTCGAACTAAAACTTCCGCTGAAACGTTGCTGGATCGCTGGCGATTTGCGATCGATACCTCATATAAAACTCCCGTCTTTGCTGGCGCTGGCGTTCGCCCTCGCACGCTGGCGTACGCTCCCGCAAAATGTATGGGAACCGCGTCCCAGCCTGTGGTCTTGACTCCACGCTCTAAGTGTAGGTAATGTACCGCACAGCTTATAAATCAAGACACAGTAAGGAGTGCGATTTACACTTTGCGCGAATGAGATTGCGACAGGGTATCCAGCATCGATGTGCGAAACGCATGGGGGGGGCGCGGTGAGAGAGTCTCTAAAAGGGTCACTCAGCAGCCGGGCAATTGTGCCTCTCGAACATTTCGGTTGGATAGTGGGAAGTCAGGAGCTATGGGATTCAAGATGTAGAGAGTGATAATAAAACAAATGAACATTATCTCTTGAATTGTATTCTTCCAGCAGATTTAAGTGCTCAGCGTTTAGCAGCTCTATTTTTCATGGCTGAAATCCCCGGAAAGGGATCATACTTGGCGGACGCGGGGACGCTGAGGTGTTGCAAAGATTGAGGTGCGGTTAGCGATGCACAACAGCATACAAAAGATGTAAAGCCAGCTAGAGTTGGTTGGAAACTGTACGGAAAGCTACGCAGAAGACCGGATGATAAAGGAGCGAGACTACTCAATGTGATAACAAAATTGATTAGGCAACATTAGAGGCAAGAATAAATAAATAAATAATATCAGTCAACTAGCATGATTTCGTAAGTACGTAGATGACTAAATAATACGTCTCAAACAGATTCGTGCGTATTGTCCTTTCCAAACCCTAAACAAACATCTGCTTGCATGGATAAAAGCACCTGAAATCAGAATTTACACCTTTCCACCACCCTCTGCGTAGGAGCGTAATGCAGCTTGACTGCATAACTTCGGACGCAAATCCATCAGTAATTAGCGAGAGTCTCTACTTCTATTCGGCACTCATTTTGATAAGGGAAATATTGTGTTTTTGAAAGGCACATTATGAAGGTGTGTGCGAAAGGTGTCCTCCTCACAATGGCACATAAGGAGTCGATTTTTTCTCGGTGATTGGGTCAAGCGGTATGACTCCTGCGCGTCTGTGACCCATCTAAAATATCTCCTGCACTAGCGTGTCTTCAGAAAACTGTAAAGCTTATTGGAAAGAGAAAAGATAGCGCGGTTCAACGATTTTAATCCTGATGAAATTGCGTTCGAAATAAGTAATCCTCGTGTGAAGCATAAAAACCCGCTTGCCATTTACCCCTAGCCGATCCGAAACCCATCCGAAATATTTCACGAACGGGGAAACATTCAGATTGCAACTGGGTAGAAAACGCAACAGTAGGAACATTCCCGTTGCATGCTGCTAACCATTCATCAAAAGCCGCGCCCCTCAAAGAGATATAACCCCCGAAAAGACCCCAGGACGTTGGCAGGCCCAACAACCGCGCTCCAATGACGTTTTTCCAATGAAAGCGGTCGCAACGTTGCGATCGATAATAGCCAAGTATAGAACGATATACTGCCGCCTGGTTATCCATTTTTTCATTTGGCTCCGCATTTTTTTGTATTTTTCATGTTTCGCTTTGTTGTGTCGTGCATGTTTTCATGATTTCCCCGTCACCATTCATTGAAATGGGGCCTGACACGCTGACCTTGGGGCTATTTTTTTCACCAATTTAGCTTATCAATGATCACCATTAGTCGCTGTTTCGATTGTGTTCCTTGTTACAAGTTGCATGTCATACATGGTTGTCGAACGACGAGTTTTATTTTGAATCCTAAGACAAAATTGTAGGTAATGCGAGGCTGTTGTTCAGCCTCATATTGCATGAGGCTGAAACAGCCTATTATTGCCTGGATTTTAGAGCAGAGTCCGCCTTTCGAAAATCCAGATTCCATCTTCCTCTTCGAGGGGGGCGGGCGTCGTAACTGGACCCTCTTCGAGGGGGGGGGGGGGAGGGGGTCGTACTCACACCGCCAAATCGCACATCCCCATGCTGTACCCTGACTGCGAAGTATGAACGCACTCTAATCCAGCCTTTTTCTGAGAGGCATTGGAGGAATTCAAGTTAGGGGAACAAACTTACTTGTCTTCCTTTAAGACTGTCTACAGTCGTTGTTGTTTGTTCGGGAATCCGGATTGCCTCTTCATTGACATCATTGCCAGAGTATGCGTTGTAAATAAAAATGAGTGAAATTACAACTGTTGCAATAACGATCAGTTGCCGAATTCGAAATCGAGTGACCATGTCGCCAAGTTCGAGAGACTTCCTACAATTCAGGTCATCGTGAAAATTTATGGAGCGAATAATGTGACCCTACTCCAACACGAGAATTCGACATGCCAGCAAAAAGTCACGGCTCTTATAAACTTGCAGAGGTGGGAGAGGGGGTGAACAGTAGGAATTTTCACAACAGCAGAACATTTTCGCTACAACCTTATCTCAGCTTTTGCAATGTTTGGCGCTATTTGATAGCTATGACGGAAACATATAGAGCAAGGTCGGGAAGAGTCATGCCAGCAAAAACAAATACTGTTAACGTGTAACCTATATATTATGCATATAAGTACTTCATCGCGTTCAATACAGTATAATGAAATGGTATCCTTCTATTCTATAAACCACTAACTCTGTGTGTCGGTTTGTCGGTATGTATGTATGTATGTATGTATGTCTGTCCGTCCGCAAAATGCTTCACGGGTTCGAGTTCGCTGGAGGCGAAAACGACCGCTAGGCAAACAGGCAAATCGGTGCGGAAGTATCAATCCAATGTTTTGATCGTGATATCGGCCTCCGCTATATAAGACAACCATTCGGTACACTCCGAGCCATTGCACGAGCTGCTGGCGTGGCAGCTGGACGTGTGCTCGTGCGAGGGGCAGGGTGGAGG